GTCCATAAATGACGTCACGCACCTAGGAGGGGGGGGGGGGGGGTCAGACATTTGTGACGATGTGTGACGACGGAGGGGGGGTTGAGAAATGTACAACTTTACATAAATCTAGAATTGTTATTACAACACAAATTGTGTTATAACAACACTCCTACAACATCAGAGTGCAGCACCACATTAAATACGCACTACAATGACAATAGTTTAAAGCGATTGAAGCATGTTTTATTTTCAAAATGGAAATATGGTTTTTGGGGGGGGGGGCAGAGCTTTGTGACGTCATATTTGAGGGGGGGGGTCTGACTTTTTGTGACGCCGTGTGACGAAGGGGGGGGGGGTCAAAATCGCCCAAAATCGCGTGACGTCATTTATGGACCGCTCCTTTGCTGCCTTGCACACGCTTGATAAATGAGACTTAAACAATGCGCATATTGTTCATTCGTCTTTAATGACTGGCTTACCCTTTTCTCTTTTGTGCACTCCTATAGCTTTCGTTGTTCGTCCTGTTTTGCTGTTGTTGTAACTCGCCCCGTACTGGACATCTGTGAGAAGAGAGCTTCGCAGCTTATCGGATTCCTCCTTCCTGCAGCCTCATTGAACATTCTGATATGCAGCATCGGCCTGCGAATGTGTTAGCAGTCCCTGAGTAGGAAGCGACGTTGCGATGTTGTAGGGGCGGGCGGGCCGCTGGGAGTATCTTCCAAATTAGGCACAGGCTGCTTGTAAATTCAAGCCGGCCCGCCAGGGTCTCATACCCGGGGTGAATTGCGTGAGCACGCGGATTGCTTGAAAAGGTTCTGCGCTACGAGCCGCACGAAGTGGGCTCATCCGGAGAGGCGAGGAAGCGCGGCGCAGCCGGCGGTGTTCCAGCCACCGCAGGCGCTGCATCGCCTAACCCTGAGCAGCCGCGTTCGAGTCACTTAGTCAGCGAGGGCCAGTCCGTCTCTCTGTCACTCTGATGTCGCTACTACCATGGTTGCTTTTCGATTTGAAGCTTTTGTGACTGCAAGGATTCATCTTCTTTGGTTCTTTCGGTAAAGTCACGTAGAATGAGAATAATAAAATAAAATAACACAATAAAATTCTCACGACGTTTCGGCCACAACACAAGTGGCCTTCATCAGGTGATGAATACCATGGTTGCTGTTCCTGCGAACGGGTCTCGTTGATTCCTCCACCCATGTTGATGACTCGGGTCGACCAGACTGACTGTTTCGGCTCATCCACCATGCCGCAGATCACAACAATTGCTCGTTCGTCCGCCCATGTCCTCATTCAACCACAAACAAAGATCCCCTGTATAGCCTTTACCAGACTGTTGGGGCAAGTCCTGTTAGCGAGCACCTTATAAGGCCGGCACAGCACACGAGAGGGTAAGTGTTCAACACCACGCCCGGCCGCCTTTGTCTCTCTAGCGGCGATATTTACACACTGCGCGAGGTCCGCATTTGAGGCCGAGCCCCAGGACCTGTTCAGATATTCGACAACGATGTTGGCCGTGAGTGGGAATCCAACTTAGGTCACCGGGCTCCGTAGCGCAGCGTGGCGCTAACCGCTACACTACCGCTCCCCATGCTCACCTACTCACTCACCCACCTACGCACCACACTGCAGGTCACCTCAATTATCTTCCAGCGTCATCTCTCGAATAGCTCGATGGTCGGAATTCAGACTATGTATTTATTAATTCCTTTCCCATCGTCTCTTGTCCCCGCGTTCTTATAACATCGCTCAATCCAAGAAACCTGTTAACGCTTATCTGTTGCAACTTAAATACAGCGGTGCTGTCCGCCACTGCCTCTGTGCCATGGTAAGACCTTTTGGTCTGTGCTCTGCAATCGTAATAGATAGAAGATAAAAATGAAAAATAACAAATCTCTAATGTCACGTAGGTATAAAATAAAATTAATCACGACGTTTCGGGCGAAACACAAGCGTCCGTCATCACACTTTACCGAAAGAACCAAAGAGTATGGATTCCTGCAGTCACGAAAGCTTCAAATCAACAAATCTCTACTTTGATCTTTCCGCGGTAGTGCCCAATTGGTGCGTATCCCTCCACGTTTTTGGACATGCGCCTTTCCGAAAACAATATTATTCCTATACGCTGCAAGGCGGTTCTGCGTGACCCGTGTTTCCTTAAGTGGCCGCTCTTTGCCGGAGGGGGCTGCAATTCCGCAAGCGCTGATTTTTCATAAACACGCTGAGCGGATTGACCCCGCAATGAAACGGCTGCCTGAACGAAGGCCAAATAAAAAATCCAACTCGATTGCTAGAGAGAGGGGGGGGGGGCTAAAAAACAACAACATAAACCCCTTCTGTTTAACACGTCGTAGCAGGCTTTCGCCACCAATATTATCCAAAATAGAGGTTTTTGGGTTAGATCGCGTAAATATATAAATGTGTCGTTCAACCCGCCACCACCCGACACAGCCAATTATTAAGGCTTGTCACGTAAACAAAACATGGCAATTCGTTACTAGTACAGCACAACGGTAAATGTTGTGGATTTGCTCTCCAACACACCGGCGTGCTGTACTAGTGACGAATTGGCACGTTCTGTTTACGTGACAAGCCTTACTAATTGGCTGTGCCGGGTGGTGGTGGTGGGTTGAACGACACATCTATCTTTACACGATCTAACCCAAAAAAACCTATATTATGGATAACCCCTTCTGTGTTAAAGCACAGACATTCGAACACTGATATTTGCACATCCTGATAACTGCATGAACGGCAATGCCCCCCCCCCCACCCCGGTTTACGTCGGGGGATGCGTTCCTGAAAGGCGTTACAACGAATAATCGAAACGACGCGAATCGAAGCGGTTTTCAGGGTAGCAGTCGAGGTGATGGTAGTGGTGGTGGAGGCTGAGAGGCGGCGGATAACGAGAAAGGAGGGGACGATGCTGTTGGCGACGTGAGAGTGAGTGTGGGGGGGTCCAGGCGACGCGAGTTGTACAGCGGTGTTAATCATTAAAGCGACGACGCAGTTTGCGAAACGACGTCAAAGGCGGTGACGTAAATCGGGGTATTGCTGTACGTATATAGCAAAGGTACAAATCCCCCGTGTAGGCTTTTAACCACACCGTTGGGGCAAGTGCTGCTAGCGAGTAGCACCTGCGAAGGCCGACACAGCACATGAGCGGGTGGGTGGCCCAACACCACGCCCGGCCGCCTTTGTCTCCCCCCAACACACCGCTCCAGGTACGGTACTGATTTAAGGCTGAGTCAACCTAGGGGAGGCGCAAGACCAGTTCCAATATATCGCCCGTTCACTTTCGCCTTGGGGGCCGATTGACTCTCGGTGGATTTCAGAGAAACGGAGGGAAACTTTTTTGCCTTTTGCCTCAGCGCTGTGTGTCAAATTAACGTTTTTTTTTTCATTGTAATATCATTTTCATGAAATGGAAATAGCAATTTATTTTTTGTACTCCTCGATAGCGGCTGCTTATTGATGTTTAAAAAAATTCTTTTAAAAGGCAAGAGAATTTGTTTTGTTTTTCTCTCTCTAATACTCAGTCGCCTTCAATATACACTTAAAGAAAATACATGACGATTTCGATTTAAAGCTTTCGTGACTGCAAGGATTCATCTTCTTTGGTTCTTTCGGTAAAGTCACGTAGAATGAGAATAAAATAATAAATTTATAAAATAAAATAACGCAATAATATTCTCACGACGTTTCGGCCACAACACAAGCGGCCTTCATCAGGTGAAGGGACGAGACTGTCTGGAGGACAGCGCTGGAGTGAAAAAGCCACACTCAGATCACGACCTTTAAGCTTAGAGTCGCGGCATCTCTTCAGAAAGGTGAGAGACTCGATTAGTTGAGCCTTCTTATCCCGGAGTCTGTTGAATGATCTTAAGGTTGTGTGGAATCCCTCTCCGTAGAGGCGGTTAAATTTCGATTTAAAGCTTTCGTGACTGCAAGGATTCATCTTCTTTGGTTCTTTCAGTAAAATCACGTAGAATGAGAATAAAATAATAAATTGATAAAATAAAATAACACAATAATATTCTCACGACGTTTCGGCCACAACACAAGCGGCCTTCATCAGGTGAAGGGACGAGACTGTCTACGGAGAGGGATTCCACACAACCTTAAGATCATTCAACAGACTCCGGGATAAGAAGGCTCAACTAATCGAGTCTCTCACCTTTCTGAAGAGATGCCGCGACTCTAAGCTTAAAGGTCGTAATCTGAGGGTGGCTTTTTCACTCCAGCGCTGTCCTCCAGACAGTCTCGTCCCTTCACCTGATGAAGGCCGCTTGTGTTGTGGCTGAAACGTCGTGAGAACATTATTGTGTTATTTTATCAATTTATTATTTTATTCTCATTCTACGTGACTTTACCGAAAGAACCAAAGAAGATACATGACGATGTGATGAATTATGTATCTGTGCAACGCTGTGTGTTGTGTATAATAATAATAATAGTGGGGGATCTGTAGTGTAGCGGTTCACCCACCACGCTAGGAAGCCGCTCACAGCCACCAGCACCAGTGGCATACTGAACCAGTACTGGACCCCCGCTAGGTCAACTCAGCCTTAAATGAGTACCTGGTGCGATGTTAATCATCGCCACTTGCCCCAACAGTGTGTTACTGCTATCGGGGTTGCTGTTTGCCTATGCCTGTGTAGGGCACAGGTGGTGCATCTGCCAGCCATCTCAGTCAGTCAATCCGTGGCACCTGCTGGGTCTGCCCGGTGACTTCTTGCCAGCGAGCCTTCGACACTTCACGTGGCCTCAACGTGCACCTGGCCTGGCACGGGCACCGTGGTTGCGAATTGCGGCTGCTGTTGTTGTGTACAACAAGCCGCAGTGGACGGAGCGGTAGCCCGGCGGATTAGCGGACCGCGCCACGAACCTGGCGGCGACCCCGAATTCGATTGGCCGCTCGCCGAACAGGCGGACGAGCGAACGACACTCGGAACGAAACTGAGCGAGCGAGCGAGCGAACGAGTGAAAAACCGAGCCGTGCGCGCGTTCTCTCCCAGCAAGGGCAACTTCAGGAGCCTCTGCGTGCTGTCGTTCCCGGAGCCGGCCGACGTGGTGTGGAAGGCCCTGGACCAGGCGACCTTTGTGCTGCTCTACGTGCTGCCGCTGCTCATCGTCTCCGTGGCCTACGTGACCGTCGCCAAGAAGCTGTGGCTGCGCAACGCCATCGGCGACGTCACCACCGAGCAGTACGTGGCCCACCGGCGCAAGAAAAAGAAGACCATCAAGATGCTCATGCTCGTGGTGGTGGTCTTCGCCGTCTGCTGGTTCCCGCTCAACTGCTACGTGGTGCTGCTCTCCAGCCAGGCCATCCAGACCAACAACGGCATCTACTTCGCCTTCCACTGGCTGGCCATGAGCAGCACCTGCTACAACCCCTTCATCTACTGCTGGCTCAACGAGAGCTTTCGCTCCGAGCTCAAGGCCCTCGTGGCCATCTGCAGGCCGCGGGGAGGGGCGGCGGCGGGGGAGGCCGGCGGCAACCCGCTGGACGTGATCCCCCGCGCGTCGCGCCAGGCGTGGGCCGAGCGCAGGAGCTACCGCCGTGGCGCCCGCATGGTGGAGAGCCGGCTGACGTCGACCCCGGCGGTGGTGGCACCGGAGGAGGAGGAGGAGGAGAAGACGGAGGAGGCGTCGTCCGATCTGGTGGATGCGGTGAGTGGGAGAGGTGGCCTGCCGACATCGCGATGGTGATCATTTTGTAACGTGGACATTTTGGGGAAATGTGCTTTGTTCATATTCTATTGCACTATTTCGTGCAAAAGATGCAATTAAAAATGCTTTACAGGTAAAAGCAAAACATTGTTAAAATACTAAATCGCAAGAACAATCAAAGCAATTTCCATACAAAACAAAATTGCACGTAAAAAAAAAACACTATAAAAGTAAAAGCAAGTTTAAAAAGGAAGTTTTTTTTAGATTTAACCTAAAATTGCTTCATGATTGCGATCATATCCGGGAGAGGGACGCGGCGTCCTCCCGCACGTGAACGCCTGCAAGTTGCCGGGCTGCTGTTCCGTTGACCGCTGAATCTCGGAACGCGCAGGCGGCTCAGCGTTTATTTTACTCAGAGAGGCGTAGTCGAGCCGCTGTTTTTAAAGACACTGTTACTCGCCGCAGAGAACCGTAGCGACGCGACCACGCTCTGATAGCTGGCGCCAAACTGTGCCACACACCCTCCCGCATGACCTTTTACTTGTCGATTCCGTTCCTACGACGTACACGTACGTACTCTTGTTATTTTTGCCACGTACGTACGTCATCAAAATGGAATCAGAAGAAAATCTGATGACGTACTGTACGTCATCGGAACGGGAAAGGATTGACCGATAACACCTGTAAACATCGAGGATTGAAGAGCTGTGATCATATCGGGAAACAAATCAAGCCGAGTATATTTTCTGACGTCGAGTTGTCAACGATGTCCATCAAAGGCATTGTCCCTCTCTTTAAAAAATCGATGAAACGCCACACCTACTCCCACGAGATGTGTTGTTCTTATTGTTGTTGTTGTTTTCGGGCGGTACCGCTGTCAGTTGGTCCGCGCGATGTCCGACGTTCCGCTCCCACGCACTGGGAGCTACGTCTCCAGCAACTAAATTTTGTTGGTAATTTCTCCTCCTCCCCCTCCTCCTCCAGCGCTCGCTTCGCCAGAGAAGAGACACCCGTTGACGGAATCCACCCGCTATTGAGACGTGTTAAATAAAACTGTATTCGGACCCTGAAGAAGCTCCCTCCCCCCTCCCCAGCGAGCACGTGGAGCGAAACGTCGGACATCGTGCCGACCCGAAAACACAAAGACAACCTACGCGGTCGTAAAATTTTAAAAAATGAAATAATGAAAAAAATGTCGCCCATAAACCGCTGTTATTTTTCATCTCTGTTAACCATCACCGTTATTGCCGCGATTGCAATCAGTTAATTACGAGCAGTAATGAGAACCCTTTTTCATTATATCGATGCCCCCTGCCCCCTCAGGGTTAAAGGGGTTTATATTTTTTTTACAAAGGCACGCGTGTGAATTATTATTTTCTTGTGTGGTGGGGGGGGGGGGCAAATCAAAAACACATCAGCGGAGGGAGCTTCCAATGTCCTAATCTGTGATGAGAGATCATACAGCATCGCCGCGAGAATGTTAATGATAAACTCCGGAGAGGGCTCCTTCGCTTGCACGTATTGGTTGAACAAAAAATATATATATTGGAGTATATATATATATTTAATAACAACAAACAAAATAACAAGAGCAGTTATAATGTACCTTCCGATGCGTCGTCAGTCTGAAACCTGCGGGTTCGTTTTTTGCGACGACAAAAAAAAATCTGAATCTAAACGTCGCTGGTGCCTCGAGAGGCTCCGAGCGCACGGTCCGAAACGTCGGACATCGCGCCTGAGCGACGCTGCGGTAGCACCCGAAAATCACAGTCGGACCGACGATCGCATTTAACCCCCCATAGGTTTCCACGAGCACTACGACCGTTAAACTATTTTTCGTTTTTAACAGATGAAGCCCCCACTGAGCTGTATAGCTCTTTTTTTCAGAAGCCACCTGGCTATCGCAAATGACAGCTCAACGAAAGTGGATTGTCACCACGTGGACAATTATAGCAGCCAAATGCTCTAAATACGTGACGTTGATTCTAAATGACGAGGGAGAAACCGGAGGGCCCCGGAGAAAAACAATCCACGCGACCACGGGAAAAGAGAGACGCGCAGACTCCAAATATATAGCAGCAGCAGGCGTCAGGGTCGGGATCGAACCCACGACCTCCTGTAGACCAGGCGAGGTAGTTAACATCTCCTAGCCACCGTGATGATGAGAGAGACGCGCAGACTCCAAATATACAACAGCAGCAGGCGTCAGGGTCGGGATCGAACCCACGACCTCCTGTATACCAGGCGAGGTAGTTAACATCTCCTAGCCACCGTGATGATGATGAGAGAGAGACACACATACTCCAAATATACAGCAGCAGGTGTCAGGGTCGGGATCGAACCCACGACCTCCTGTAGACCAGGCGAGGTAGTTAACACCTCCTAGCCACCGTGATGATGATGAGAGAGAGAGAGACACGCAGACTCCAAATATACAGCAGGCGTCAGGGTCGGGATCGAACCCATGCCGTTCTGCATACCAGGCGAGGTAGTTAACATCTCCTAGCCACCGTGATGATGATGAGAGAGAGAGACACGCAGACTCCAAATATACAGCAGGCGTCAGGGTCGGGATCGAACCCATGCCGTTCTGCATACCAGGCGAGGTAGTTAACATCTCCTAGCCACCACGGCGCCAGTATTGGATCATGATTTATTTTTTTAGAGTGATGTCCTGCTCAGATGAGCTTTGAGGCATTCACGCTCATCTCCCATCGATGTCCCTGGCACCAGCGGTGGGAATTCCACCTTGCTATGGTGCGTGGCCGAGTCAATCTACGAGACAACCGCTGTTGAAGTCCCCTCTTAGTGGTACTCATTTAAAGAGCCGCAGAGCCGATGGTGGTCAGAGTTAAACACCACCAACCAGGATCCGCAACCTTGTGTGTATGTGTGTATGTTTGTGTGTTTGTGTGTTTGTATGTTTGTTTGTACGTGTGTATTTTTGTTTGTGTGTATGTATGTTTGTGTGTTTGTATGTTTGTTTGTACCAGTGTATGTTTGTACGTGTGTATGTTTGTATGTGTGTATGTTTGTGTGTTTGTATGTTTGTTTGTACGTGTGTATTTTTGCATGTGTGTATGTATGTGTATACGTGTGTATGTGCGTACGTGTGTATGTGTGTATCTATGTGTGTATGTCTGTGTGTGTGTACGTGTGTATATGTGTATGTGTGTATGTTTGTGTGTGTGTATGTGTGTATGTGTGTACATGTGTATGTGTGTACGTGTGTGTGTATGTTTGTGTGTGTACGTGTGTACGTGTGTATGTGTGTACGTGTGTACGTATGTATGTGTGTATGTTTGTGTGTCTGTATGTGTGTATGTGTGTACATGTGTATGTGTGTACGTGTGTGTGTGTATGTTTGTGTGTGTGTGTACGTGTGTATGTGTGTACGTGTGTACGTGTGTATGTGTGTATGTTTGTGTGTCTGTACGTGTGTATGTGTGTATGTGTGTATGTTTGTGTGTGTACGTGTGTATGTGTGTATGTTTGTGTATGTACGTGTGTATGTGTGTATGTGTGTACGTGTGTACGTGTGTATGTGTGTATGTTTGTGTGTCTGTACGTGTGTATGTGTGTACGTGTGTTCGTGTGTATGTGTGTAAGTGTGTATGTTTGTGTATATGTTTGTATGTTTGTTTGTACGTGTGTATGTGTGTACGTGTGTATGTTTGTTTGTATGTTGAACTTCTTGCGCATTGCACATGGACAACCGTGTTAATCGGAGGTGCGTGGGAAGGTCGACAAACGATGGGTCTCTGTGTGAGTCTATGGGTCTCTGTGTGAGTCTATGGGTCTCTGTGTGAGTCTATGGGTATCTGTGTGAGTCTATGGGTCTCTGTGTGAGTCTATGGGTATCTGTGTGAGTCTATGGGTCTGTGTGTGAGTCTATGGGTCTCTGTGTGAGTCTATGGGTCTCTGTGTGAGTCTATGGGTCTCTGTGTGAGTCTATGGGTCTCTGTGTGAGTCTATGGGTCTCTGTGTGAGTCTATGGGTCTCTGTGTGAGTCTATAGGTCTCTGTGTGTGTCTATGGGTCACTGTGTGAGTCTATGGGTGTCTGTGTGAGTCTATGGGTCACTGTGTGAGTCTATGGGTCTCTGTGTGAGTCTATGGGTCTCTGTGTGAGTCTATGGGTGTCTGTGTGAGTCTATGGGTCTGTGTGTGGGTCTATCGGTTTGTGTGTGAGTCTATGGGTCTCTGTGTGAGTCTATGGGTCTCTGTGTGAGTCTATGGGTCTCTGTGTGAGTCTATGGGTCTCTGTGTGAGTCTATGGGTCTCTGTGTGAGTCTATGGGTCTCTGTGTGAGTCTATGGGTCTCTGTGTGAGTCTATGGGCCTCTGTGTAAGTCTACGGGGGTCTATGTGAGTCTATGGGTCACTGTGTGAGTCTATGGGTCTCTGTGTGAGTCTATGGGTCTCTGTGTGAGTCTATGGGTGTCTGTGTGAGTCTATGGGTCTGTGTGTGGGTCTATCGGTTTGTGTGTGAGTCTATGGGTCTCTGTGTGAGTCTATGGGTCTCTGTGTGAGTCTATGGGTCTCTGTGTGAGTCTATGGGTCTCTGTGTGAGTCTATGGGTCTCTGTGTGAGTCTATGGGTCTCTGTGTGAGTCTATGGGTGTCTGTGTGAGTCTATGGGTCTGTGTGTGGGTCTATCGGTTTGTGTGTGAGTCTATGGGTCTCTGTGTGAGTCTATGGGTCTCTGTGTGAGTCTATGGGTCTCTGTGTGAGTCTATGGGCCTCTGTGTAAGTCTACGGGTGTCTATGTGAGTCTATGGGTCACTGTGTGAGTCTATGGGTCTCTGTGTGAGTCTATGGGTCTCTGTGTGAGTCTATGGGTGTCTGTGTGAGTCTATGGGTCTGCGTGTGGGTCTATCGGTTTGTGTGTGAGTCTATGGGTCTCTGTGTGAGTCTATGGGTCTCTGTGTGAGTCTATGGGTCTCTGTGTGAGTCTATGGGTCTCTGTGTGAGTCTATGGGTCTCTGTGTGAGTCTATGGGTCTCTGTGTGAGTCTATGGGCCTCTGTGTAAGTCTACGGGTGTCTATGTGAGTCTATGGGTCACTGTGTGAGTCTATGAGTCTCTGTGTGAGTCTATGGGTCTCTGTGTGAGTCTATGGGTGTCTGTGTGAGTCTATGGGTCTGTGTGTGGGTCTATCGGTTTGTGTGTGAGTCTATGGGTCTCTGTGTGAGTCTATGGGTCTTTGTGTGAGTCTATGTGTCTCTGTGAGAGTCGACGGGTCTCTGTGTGAGTCTATGGGTCTCTGTATGAGTCTATGGATCTGTGTGTGAGTCTATAGGTCTCTGTGTGAGCCTATGGGTCTCTGTGTGAATCTATGGGTCTGTGTGTTAGTCTATGGGTCTCTGTGTGAGTCTATGGGTCTGTGTGTGAGTCTATGGGTCTGTGTGTTAGTCTATGGGTCTGTGTGTTAGGCTATGGGTCTGTGTGTTAGTCTATGGGTCTCTGTGTGAGTCTATGGGTCTGTGTGTGAGTCTATGGGTCTCTGTGTGAGCCTATGGGTCTCTGTGTGAATCTATGGGTCTGTGTGTTAGTCTATGGGTCTCTGTGTGAGTCTATGGGTCTCTGTGTGAGTCTACGGGTGTCTATGTGAGTATATGGGTCACTGTGCGAGTTTACGGGTGTGTATGTGAGTCTATGGGTCACTGTGTGAGTCTACGAGTGTCTATGTGAGTCTATGGGTCTCTGTGTGAGTCTATGGTTCTCTGTATTAGTATGCACGTTGAACTTCTTTCGCACCGCACGTAGCCCACCGCGCTAAACGGAGTTTGCGGAGCCACCTGGCCGGATCGATCATCCATCGCGGGATCTCGTTGTGATCCCATCGCACCTCGTGCCATTCATCTCCCCCGACCCCTCTCTCCTTCCCTCTCTCCCTCCCTCTCTCCTTCCCTCTCTCCTTCCCTCTCTCCTTCCCTCTCTCCTTCCCTCTCTCCTTCCCTCTCTCCCCGTGTCCCCTCGCCGCTGTAGAGGCAGAGCAGGAACATCCTGAGGAGAGCCCGAGACATGCTCCACCCCGTGCACTTCCAGAAGGAGAGCGAGGCCGTCAAGGTGGAGGAGGACCTCATGACGCTGTGAAGGAGCCCGCCCCTCCCTCGTCTTGCTCTCCCGGACACCACCGACCCCTACTGGCAGACACATGCCCCCTGGAGGGCGGCTGCTGCCTGTACCATGGGACAGCTGCCTGGTGGGGGGGGGGGGGCGTCCCTTGGCTAGGACTGCCTGGGGGGGTCCCCTTGGCTAGGACTGCCTGGGGGGGTCCCCTTGGCTAAGACTGCCTGGGAGGGGTCCCCTTGGCTAGGACTGCCTGGGAGGGGTCCCCTTGGCTAGAACTGCCTGGGCGGGTCCCCTTGGCTAAGACTGCCTGGGAGGGGTCCCCTTGGCTAGGACTGCCTGGGGGGGTCCCCTTGGCTAAGACTGCCTGGGAGGGGTCCCCTTGGCTAGGACTGCCTGGGGGGGGGTCCCCTTGGCTAAGACTGCCTGGGGGGGATTCCCCCTTGGCTAAGACTGCCTGGGGGGGGGGTCCCCTTGGCTAGGACTGCCTGGAGGGGTCCCCTTGGCTAGGACTGCCTGGGGGGGGGTCCCCTTGGCTAAGACTGCCTGGGGGGGATTCCCCCTTGGCTAAGACTGCCTGGGGGGGGGGGTCCCCTTGGCTAGGACTGCCTGGAGGGGTCCCCTTGGCTAGGACTGCCTGGGGGGGTCCCCTTGGCTAAGACTGCCTGGGGGGGTCCCCTTGGCTAAGACTGCCTGGGGGGGATTCCCCCTTGGCTAAGACTGCCTGGGGGGGGGGGTCCCCTTGGCTAAGACTGCCTGGGGGGGATTCCCCCTTGGCTAAGACTGCCTGGGAGGGGTCCCCTTGGCTAGGACTGCCTGGGGGGGTCCCCTTGGCTAAGACTGCCTGGGAGGGGTCCCCTTGGCTAGGACTGCCTGGAGGGGTCCCCTTGGCTAGGACTGCCTGGAGGGGTCCCCTTGGCTAAGACTGCCTGGGGGGGATCCCCCCTTGGCTAAGACTGCCTGGGAGGGGTCCCCTTGGCTAAGACTGCCTGGGGGGGTCCCCTTGGCTAAGACTGCCTGGGGGGATTCCCCCTTGGCTAAGACTGCCTGGCGTGGGGGGGGGGGGAGTGAGGATCCCCCTTGGCTAAGACTGCAGCAGGGCACTGGAACGTCAGACACGATGATGACGATGGCGCTGCTGCTGTTGCTGCGATGTACACGGCGCGCTGTGACTGGCGAGGCGGACCGGCGCGCGTCCTGTGACTACAAACGCTTCGTCGTGCGCCGCTCTCCTTCGTAGCCCCCGGGCGCAGCTCCAGTCCCCCCGTGCAGGTGCACCGCCTGCACACGCAGTCAGCAGCAACGCCGCTGCCTCTGCTCGTCGCGGGAACACTTGCACGGACTCGACATTGGGCACGCGCGAGCGTACGCGTGGGCAAGATCACTTGTCACTTAGATAAGTGCGTTCGCGTGTGTATATATATAAACGTGCGTACGTACGTGTGTACGTTTAACTTATTTCCGCACCGTTTGCTGCCAGCCGTGCTAACGGGAGGTGCGCGGGAACAGGACAAGAAAGCAAACGCGCGACAAACATGAGTATTCTTCGGTTCTCTCGGTGAAGTCAAATAATATGAATTCCTGCAGTCACGAAAGTTTTAAGTCGAAAAAACATGAGTTCACCCACACAGAATCGGGAAATTCCGCTGGTGGTGGTGAATGGGTAGCGGGAGTGTGGGTGGTGGGTGGTGGGAGGGGGGGTTGCAGAGGTGACGCAGCGATTCATTCAATTCCCGGAGGGTGGATAACACCGGCGTCGAGATGAGAGCTCGCCAGACACGCGGCGAGGCTCTCGCTTGCCAGGGTGCCTTGGGGCGTCAGTCTGCTCGCGTGCCTGTCGGCCAGTACGACGCGCGATGCGATGGCTGCCGTTGCGTTCCGTCGCAATCGAAGAGGAGTTTGCGACGCGCAGAGTGGGTTTTTTTTTTTGTTTGTTGTTGCGAGTTTGACAAATCTGCTCAATGGCCCCAACCCACCAACCGAGTCTCTCTCGCCAGCGCCGTTGACGTGCACTTCGAAGCGAACGGCCAGGCCGCGTCGTCGTTACACACGCACGCGCAGCGTTGACCGGGGCGGCCCCGTGGGTTCCAAACGCGACTCTCTGCGGCAGGGTCGCGCGTGCCACGCCGCCGCCGCCGGGCCGAAGGCGCTACGGTTTGCCAAACGCCGTGGGGTTTTTCCGAACCAGTGAACGGAAGGGGGAGAAGGGGGGGCGGGGGGGAGCTTTCCACCGTTCAACCACCGTGGCCTTGCCGTGCTCGAGGTTCTAACGAGCGCAGTGACCCACGCGGCGATGTGATGGGGGAGGCCTTCATCCAGCAGCGGATCGACAAGGGGCCGCAAAATGACGCGGGGTTTTTATTTTCTGTCACGGGGGAGGAGGGAGGGGAATAATTCGTGCACTTCTAAAAGTAAGGAAATAAATGATTACACAACCGTGGCACGCCTTTTAATCGACCAGGGAACATTCAGCCCATCGTTGACGCGCGTCACGGCGCGAAATATTTCCTTTAGCCCGAGCGTGCGCCGATCTCGTCCGATGTGCAGAAGCCGAGGCGGGTTCGCGGCCGGTTAGCGCTTGGATGGGCATCGCCCTGGGGCACTCGGGAGATGTCACGAGAGGTGCTGGCTGCTTGGTGGTGGATCGTGGCGGTGATGGCCTGGAGGTGGCAGTGAAGCAACAAGGACGACTGAACCCGCGTGGGGATTCTGGTTTGTGGCTGCGCGGGTTTCCTCCCGGCACTTCGCGTTTCTCCCGGCACGTGACGATCACTCGTTCGCGGTATTTGTCAAACAAATCCCGTGACAGGGCTCTCCTGAAAACGAGTCTTGAGACTCAGCGGGGCTTTCGCTGGATAAAAGGGCATTATAATAATTGTAAAAGTCATTATCCGCTTCTTTAATCAATTACTGGAGTGTACAACTCCCGACGCCTTATCTCTGCGTTAACGTGACACGGCATTCGTTTCAGTTGCTGAGTCGAGGCTTAATGTCTCGCCCAATATTTCCCCGTGTCACTGATAGACTTTCAGTGGGCACATGACTACTTGTCACCACCGTCGGCAAGAGGTATCGTGGATTTTGCTTGCCGCCTTAATGCAGTGACGAGGTGGATCGTGCAGTAACTCCTGCATTGAATTTCCGCAATGCCCGAATATGTCCGGGCGGTGCTTGGGTCCACCGGCGCTTTCAGAGTCAACTCCGAGGGGGCCTGTGGCAGGCACCGAGTCTCTCCGTGCGACAAACACTTTGTGGTGCCGCTTCCACGAGTCGAAGCTGAGTTCATTCTTACAGCTCCGATGTTTGACCGATGGATTGATCCACAATATAGGTTTTTTGGGGTTAGTTCGTGTAAATCAAAATGTGTGTCGTTAAACCAGCCACCACCCGACACAGCCAATTAGTAAGGTTTGCAGCGTAAACAAAACGCGCTAATTAGTTACTAGCTCAGCACACAACGGCGTGTTGGAGAGTAAACGGGCTTCACGACAAATTTATATTGTGGACGATCTAACCCAAAAACCTGTATTGTGTATAATATTGGTCGCGAAGCCCACGTGTTACACTGATGGATGGATCTTTACTACTGATCAATGGATGGTGGAGGGAAGATTGACGGGTGATTGATGGATTATGAGTGATGGATGCGTGGATTATATTTGATGGATGGAATCATGGAACATTGATGGATGATGGTAACAATGATTGATAATGATGGATTACTGATGTTGATGATGGGGCTGAGATAATTCCAGCTGTGATATAAACTCACAATATTTAAATTGAAACTGCTGCTGCTGCTTCTATCATCTGAAATGTATCTTGGATTATATATTTTTTTCACTTAATGCACGGCACCCCAGGGGATGCTTGGATTTTTCGGCTTGGACTGGAATAAAAAAAAACCAGAGTGTATATTATTTACATAAATATAATAAATGCATTTTCAGAGATGGTCACAAGGGTTTGAAAACGAGGTGTGAAAAAAACCATCGCACAAATCCAACAATGAACTTATCTAAAATCCCATCTGCATTAATCTCTCGGTGACAATTTTACAATTCCACAGATTGAACCGTGTAATATTTTGTTTGCAAGTCTCTCTTTATATGCTACGTGCCTATCAGCAAATAGGCCGGAATGTGCCCAATATCGGCGTCTGATCTAAGAAGCCCAAAGCAGGATTTTGAGACTGTATGGCTCTTGGCTTGGGGTGATCATCACCGCGTGTAATAACACCGTTGCATTGCATGCTGCTGCGTGGCGCTCTAGAGAATAAAAAAAAATATCCATTGTACCGTATACGTGGGGGAATGCGTTCCTGAAAGGTTGCGATGGCGAATGTCGAAACGACGTATTACATCGAAGCGATTGACAGGGTAGTAGTAGTCGTAGGTAGTGGTGGAGGCGAAGGCTGAGAGGCGACGTATAACGAGAAAGAAGGGACGATGCCGTGAGCGACGTGAGCGTGGGGTGGAGGCGACGCAAATCGGGTAGCGCTGCCAACAACAAAGCGACGACGCAGTTTGCGGAACGACGTAAACGTGGGGAGACGTAAATCGGGGTATTACTGTACTGTACTTATGCACTCTCACATCTATGCTCCCCCGCCTTCCCCCGACCCACGCTGGCGAGCGCGGTGAAAATGCGACCAAAAAATAAAAAAATAAACAATCCCCCCCCCCCCCCGGCGGTCCGCCACGACGATGCCCTCCAAGATCCTTCGCATCGAGCGGGAGGTTCGGCGAGCTAACGAACGCCAGCATGCCCACCGACCAACCCACCGGCCCACCCACCAACCCACCGACCCACCCACCGACCCACCGACCCACCCACCGACCCAACCACCCATCGACCCACCCACCGACCGACCCACCCACCCACCGACCGACCGACCCACCCACCCAAACACCCACCCACCAACCGACTGAACCACCGACCCACCCACCGACCCACCCACCGACTGACCCACCCATCCACCCACCCACCAACCGACCCACCGACCAACCCACCCACCGACCCAAACCGATCCACCCACCCACCGACCCACCAACCCATCCACCCACCCACCGACCCACCCACCCACCGACCCACCCACCAACCCACCGACCCACCCACCAACCCACCGACCCACCCACCCACCTACCAACCCACCGACCCACCGACCGATCCACCCACCCACCGACCCAACCACCCACCGACCCACCCAACAACCCACCGACCCACCCACCGACCCACCCACTGACCCACCCACCAACCCACCGACCCACCCACCCACCGACCCACCTACCCACCCACCGACCCACCCACCCACCAACCCACCGACCCACCCACCGACCCACCCACCCACCGACCCACCCACCCACCAACTCACCGAACCACCGACCCACCCACCCACCCAACCACCCACCCACCGACCCATCCACCGACCCACCCACCTACCAACCCACCGACCCACCCACCAACCCACCGAACCA